ACTGTCTATTGATGTCTTGTGCAAAGATTCTCATGCCCTGCTAGAGTCACTATAATTTTTTATGTCGTTAGCATTTTGTTCATTTTATTTTTTAGGTTGCATCTAAAGCTCTGGTTGACACCAATATTACGTTTCATGATTGATGATGGGCAACTAATCTTTCTTATTTCCGTATAACTTTGCAAACATTTGAGATTTTCATCTTCATACAATTTGATATAACAGGGAAGAATGGATGGCGTGTGGAGCTCTCGCACAATTCTAAGGGAGGTGGTGGAAGCCGTGGTGGTGGGCGTGGACGTGGTGGAGGTGAGGACTCGAAGTGTTATGAATGTGGTGAACCTGGTCATTTTGCTCGAGAGTGTCGTTTGCGCATAGGTCCACGCGGCTTAGGAAGTGGACGCCGTCGAAGCCCCAGTCCTCGACATCATCGCAGTCCAAGTTATGGGCGTAGGTGCGTTTGATGGGTCTGACGTCTATACATTTCCCATTCCTCCCAGTGCATGTGAATGATTCTCCACATACAAATACTGAAACCTTACAGCCTCATCTAATTTGCCTTTTTGAAGCCATAGAAACCTTTCTTTCTTTTTTAACACAATCTGAGAGCTTTAAATTGCTAATTTTGATTTGGCTGGAACCACTTGGCATATGATTCATAATTTTGTGAGTTGACATCCATGTTTAAGATATATGCCAATCTTGTTTGGTATTATTTTTTGAAAACTGCCATTGTTTAGTTTCAAACAGAAGGGTAAGACATATGATGCCATGGTATGCTTGCTTTCCTCTTCCATTTTTTCCATTGCCAAGAAGCATAGTTTTCGTATACATTGTTTGTTGAAATTTTATTCTTTAAGGGATATGCATGACTCAATTGAAGGGTCATCATCAGATGACGTATTCTGTAATATGTTGCTCTGAGTCGACACATTTTAGAGTTTTTTCTTTTATTTTTTCCAAATGCCTTTTGAACTTACTCTCTGGTGAAGTTATTTAAGATGCATTGGACTGGCTGATATCTAGTCAGTACCTGTAAGGTGTTGTACTTNACATTTTAGAGTTTTTTCTTTTATTTTTTCCAAATGCCTTTTGAACTTACTCTCTCGTGAAGTTATTTAAGATGCATTGGACTGACCTTTAGCTTTAGACAACGCAAAGTGAGTTTTAGACGACGTTAGAAAGAGAATGAGCAAATAAATTGAGTTTTTATTAGGGTGGGGATTCCTCTGCAAACAAAACAACGTTGTTTCGCCAAAATTTTAGGTTTTAAAAAAAAAGTGATTGAATTGTGCGATTCGTGAGTGAATCGTGCGATTCGTGTGATACGAATCGAATCGTACAAATCGTACGATTCTTGTGCGATTTAACTCTAAAACGATTCTCATATAAGATACGAATCATTTTTTAACTATATCAAACCGAATCATATGAATCAAATTGCGAATTGTACGATTTTGATAATTATGGTTATGAGAACATTTATGTTGAGCTTACTAGGAAAGAAACATTAAAAATTTACCACTTCGCTTTCTAATTTTAAGCTCATAAAAGTTGCATTTTGTTCTAGGAGTTACAGCCCTCGTGGGAGAAGATCCCCACGCCGTGGTCGTAGCTACAGCAGGTCTCCTCCATATCGCCGTGCTCGTCGTGATTCACCTTATGCCAATGGGTATGCATATCATCATTCTCCTAATGCTAATAGATATGTAATGGTTCCACGCATATAAATTTCTTGTAGTTCCTTTAATTAGTCACTGTTCTAGTGTATTGTATGTCATGCCTAAGCCCCACCTTGTGATGTGATACTGCATAATGGCTATCAATAGGGGGAATCTGAACTTTCTTTTTGGCAATGGCAAAAATGAACTCTAAATTAGTCATAAATCAGTAACTTCCAGGATTAACTATGGGCAAACTTTATTTTGTTATCTTATGGTCAATGGGCCAGAGGCATATGTCTGCCTTCTCTTTTCCCACTACACATCCGACAACCTGCCAAATCACCCCTCCTCTGCACTGAAAAAAAAAAAGAAAAAGAAAAAGAAAAAGAACATATACATAATACATGCATTTACAGGTACTGCCTTGGACCCCCACTGGATTTTGGCAATGGCAAAAGTAAAACTTCAAGGTGGTCATAAATTGATAATCGCAGGATTAACAAAGGGACAACTTTATTTCGTTTTCTAATGGTCAATGGGATAGAGGCACTTGTCTGCCTAATCCCACCTGCAAGAACCCACAGGAATGCATCAAACAAATGACACAGAACACGTGCATACACTTACTTGAGAAAAGGGCTAGATTGTGTAGATAATGAGGCTTTTGGGGTCAGTGGATTTTTATTCTACAGTACAGGTTATTACTTAGTTTGGTACGCGTTATTTGGGCTAGTGCCCTTAGATTTGAGCGTCTAATCTCATGATTGTTAGCTCAAGTATTTTACCATGGGATCCTTCTTCTATGGGCTTACTTTTAAATTGGCTACCTATATTGAATGGCTTCCCCTGTTAACGGCCTTGGATTGATATTGATGTCATCTACTGTGATGTCGAGGCAGGTGATCTCTCTCTCTCTCTCTCTCGTCACACACACACTCTCTCTCTCATGCGCACATGGTCACATCGTTAGGTGCATTCAATCTTATATGACTAACTGTGGTTGCAGAGCCTGNAAAAAAAAAAAAAAAAAGAAAAAGAAAAAGAACATATACATAATACATGCATTTACAGGTACTGCCTTGGACCCCCACTGGATTTTGGCAATGGCAAAAGTAAAACTTCAAGGTGGTCATAAATTGATAATCGCAGGATTAACAAAGGGACAACTTTATTTCGTTTTCTAATGGTCAATGGGATAGAGGCACTTGTCTGCCTAATCCCACCTGCAAGAACCCACAGGAATGCATCAAACAAATGACACAGAACACGTGCATACACTTACTTGAGAAAAGGGCTAGATTGTGTAGATAATGAGGCTTTTGGGGTCAGTGGATTTTTATTCTACAGTACAGGTTATTACTTAGTTTGGTACGCGTTATTTGGGCTAGTGCCCTTAGATTTGAGCGTCTAATCTCATGATTGTTAGCTCAAGTATTTTACCATGGGATCCTTCTTCTATGGGCTTACTTTTAAATTGGCTACCTATATTGAATGGCTTCCCCTGTTAACGGCCTTGGATTGATATTGATGTCATCTACTGTGATGTCGAGGCAGGTGATCTCTCTCTCTCTCTCTCTCGTCACACACACACTCTCTCTCTCATGCGCACATGGTCACATCGTTAGGTGCATTCAATCTTATATGACTAACTGTGGTTGCAGAGCCTGAAGGCTGGATGCAGAAATGGTTGAAAAATGGGGAACAACAGCAAAGGCCAAGATCTCTGCAATGCCTTGGTTCTTCTAGTCATGGTGAACAAACAAATTTAGGTTTATTTTAATTAAGTTATGGGTGTGTAATGAACCCGGCTTTGGTTGACTGAACTGTATAGCCACGGGAAAAGGGTGCTTTGGTCTCCTTTTTTGCGCCAGCTTGCACTATTCAGCAAACTGAAACTTGGAGGTCACTTTATACTTTAAATTGCTACTACTGCTATTGATATGTTTTTGTCTTAATTGTCGGATTATTACTGTTTGAAGAATTTGTTTCTAAAATTGTTATATATGTTCTGTTTTTGTGGTGTGATCAGCTGAAATGGCATCGTTTCGCCGCTTACTGCATCTTAGTCTTCTCGGTTTACCACCTTTTCTGCATTCCTCTAGCACATCATCTACTCGTTGCTTCTTGTGCTTCTTAATGCGTGAAAAAATGATTCTGCAACTGGTCAGAAACCTGATTGTCTGCCGCACTTTTAAATGCTATCTTCCGCAACAAAGCTTCCGATGTTGTATCGTAAGGTCATTACTTTTCTGCCTGCTGGTGGAAGGAGATTGAAGCTTTTTGTTATCCTTTGTGTTATTGTGTTTCAAGCTGCGGTATAGAATCATACCACTTGTGTTTTGCTGCATTTGATTGAGGTTGCCGGCTATTAAACTGCACCTCTGCTTTAAAACCAGGGGAATGTATTGCCCCCAAATTTGAGACTAGAGCTTCAGCGACCACCTGCAATGAACTTCACTTACGCATGTCATATGCCGTGGCCCAAGTGATTGTAGATTGTAGGATAATACAACCAAGTTCTGAACCGTTATTGCAATGCTTTCCCGTCACCTGCATGCTTACTGTTCTGCTGCTGTTTTATGTGACCCATTTCCTTTCAAATGGGTTGTTTTGGCTTGTGTTGAGGTACCCCATGGTAACATGCCATAATGCTCAGTTGGACTCGTAGGAATCATTGGTATACTGTTGGATTTGGTTGCATCTTTTCTCCATCTTTTCTTCCCGGGCGAGCTGTTTCTTATTTTTTGTTATGTTGACCTATGGTAATCCATCAGCAACATGCCAGACTTATTGATGGCCAAATCAACGATCCGTAAACAATTGTATTTGGAGCATCAGTCCTATGGGGTACATTTTAATGGTTACTAATGTGTTGGTAATTTGACTTGTCAAACGGGAATGTGTATGACCGAAGGGTTTTTTTTGTCCCAATAAGTATGGATGACTGAAATTTCTTTATACTTATTGTCCATACCCAAGTTCGTTGTGTTTGTCAACATGATTGTTCAAAATTATTTGTTGTTACGAATTAGTTTGTTCTGCATCAAAAAATATGATCAACAGAAGCTGCAGCTGTTGATGGATTGCGTAACAATACTCTCATTTATAGCGGGTATTAGTGGACTGTTATGTTATATGGCAGTATTGACATGGTATGTCAAGTAAGTTTGATAACTATTGACATAACAGAGAGAAACATGCACCTTTTGATTATTACTTTCATGTTCCCTACTTTTATGGTTCGGGTGTAATTTTCACATACCACATTACCATTGGGTCATTTGTTGGTTAGGTTTTCGGAAAATTTAGAGACTCCTAGGGAAACAAGGCCTGAGCCATACCTGTTCGTCCAAAAGGTATTCGACAAATGTGTCATGTATAAAACTGCTGTGTGCAACAAAGTAACTCTCTACGTTGCCCTGAATACTGTTAACTCGTGTGAGTATCAATCGTAAGAGTCTCTTGTCTCTGAACTAATCAATAATCATACAACTCTTATCGTGCAACAGAATTCTTAAAAAATGAGCAACAGAAAAACCGCAACTTATTCTATGATCCACTCCTACATGGACCATTTCAACAAGGACGAAAGATGGGAACTCTATTACAGCTGATTNCAACTTATTCTATGATCCACTCCTACATGGACCATTTCAACAAGGACGAAAGATGGAAACTCTATTACAGCCGAATTCTTCTCCTTAAATGCTCCAAAGACCTCTCATTTACCTTTGGAATCAATCACCTTCTTTGCAAACGATGGCAAACAGAAAGCAGCAGCATGGATCTGGGTACAAAGAGAAGCGGACAATAAAATCGAAAGGTAAAAAGAAGAAACTCATACGAATAGTAGAAAGCAAGTGGAAACACAGAGTAGAAGGAGAAGAATTGTACCTCCGAGTTGTAGAATTTCAATGGTCCTTTTGACTTGCAATGGGTATCATCGGCGTCTATTGGATTCATCGGATGCTTGAAATCCACAAGGGGACCCCCAGTTGAGCAAAGCATGAAACCAATTACCCCACTGAAATGAAAGTGAATACAAAAAACTTACATACCGTAAAACAACACAACGAAAACAGAGAAATAACGAGCAAGAGAGAGAGAGAGATCAAAGTGCATGCCTTGGATATGTAGGGACTGTAGTCCATGCATAGTTGACAGAGCCTTTGAATATCTGGCGACAGTTTGCGACAATATCTTCAATGATGTGCATGTGAAGCCATATGCTTTCAGCCTGGGTACACATAACCCCACCAGGGCGAAGTGCCTTTGCTACCGACTCAAAGAAAGGCTTCTCGAAAAGCTCTTGCGCTGGACCTGAGTGTCACAAAACACAGTGCCTGAGAAATGAATAGATGAAAGTTTCCAATGGACATATACTAAAGAAGCAAATAGTTGCAAACATATTTGAACCTATTGGATCAGAAGAATCCACTATAACTGCATCATAAGTTCCTTCGGGCACAGCCTTCAAAAATGCAACTCCTGCAAGTTGAGCGAATTTAAGAGAACAAAAATGAAAGGGGAAAATGAGGACGGTGAAGAATAAGAAGAGAAATGATGACAATACCATCACCAATGTGGAGCATTACACGGGGATCCTCATATCCAACAGCTACGTCAGGGAAAAATTGTTTAGACACCTGATAGAGCCAGAGGAGAAACAAATTCATTAGTTGTGTGGCCATGATTCCCAAACTGTTCAAACTCAATGGTCGAAAGCTCCAAAGACAAATCACATGAATCAGTGTGAAGAAGTTAAGCTACCAAGAGGACATGCTACAAGCTACAACCAGGAGTTTTTACACGGAAATGATATCCAGTGTTAAACTGGAATGAAAAAAACTAGCATTTGCTTAAACACCTAAAGCATAAAGAAAGCTAGAGGAGTCATTATTACTCACATCAACTACCATGTTATCAATCTCACAGATGTCTATCTGCTCAACAGAAGAATGGCGGGACACCTCACGTAGAACACCACCGTCTCCTCCCCCAATAACCAAAACCTGAAGGCAGAAAATGCGGTTTAAGAGGTAAATTTAGGAGCACTTCATAAATGTATATGTGTACGTGAGGATACGTGCCATATTGACTCCTATGAAATTAGGATAGCCAGAAAAATTTACTTCANGGGGGGGGGGGGGGGGGGGGTCCTAAACTAGGCTGTAAAAAATGGCAATAAGCCTGAAGAGTGTAAAACCAAAGTACACTACTACAGTGCATGGACAAATCAGAACTTGTGAGTTGTGACTTGCATTCCAGATGTGTGATGAGTATGGGTTTGAAATTTCCCAACACAACTACTGCAGGACATTGACCATAGAGGAGAGCTAAATAGTAAAAAATTGAACAGAATTATATAGTAAAAGTTTTGAACTTCGGATTCATCTTGTCCCCCACATTCAATCAGCAGCAACAGAGCTATAATTTGTAGAACTGGGGTTCAAACACTTAAAATAACTACTTAAAAAAGACTCTTCAAATCCCTAAACACAGCATAACATGACAGAAGAATCAAGACACCTAGTAAAATCTCTACATACATAAACAAACCCATCATTCCAAGTTGAATTAGAAACAAAATAATGCACATAAATCATCCTCTGTTCACAAAAAAATTAATAATAAAAATGGCAGATTGTAGTGAAAACTAATCTGGNTCATTATTACTCACATCAACTACCATGTTATCAATCTCACAGATGTCTATCTGCTCAACAGAAGAATGGCGGGACACCTCACGTAGAACACCACCGTCTCCTCCCCCAATAACCAAAACCTGAAGGCAGAAAATGCGGTTTAAGAGGTAAATTTAGGAGCACTTCATAAATGTATATGTGTACGTGAGGATACGTGCCATATTGACTCCTATGAAATTAGGATAGCCAGAAAAATTTACTTCATAATTTTAAGTAAACTTAGGCCTAAACAAGTCCAGTTTGGGCCAACATGTTTCTCCAGCTTTATGTTTTTTCTTCTCTTTTTTCTCCTTATACAAACGCATGTATATTAATCCAGCACCNAAGAATGTCCACAAAAATCTCTCTCTTGATATACTAATTTATAGATAAATACAGGGTGATAGAATAGAGAAAAGGTTAGCATCAATGGGGTAAAACACACAATAATTGTCAGCGTACACACACACACACACACGAAGAGAATCTGCTGAGGAAAGACGCGTTTGTATGCAGGAGTCCACCCATATAGGGTTTGACTCCCTTTTTTGATAACTTATCATAGTTGTATATGAACTGTAATTATATAATTAGCGTGTAAACGAGTCCCGTAATATATATTTTTTAATTTATTTTATTTATATTTAATTTATTTATTAACCATATTGTGTTAAATTCATTAATTTATTAAACATATACTTTAAAAAAGATTCAAATTCTTTAATTTTATTATATTGTGTTAACGATTCGTATCATATTTAAGGGTTGAATTTATTATTTTTTAAGGTAAAATTTTTTATTTTTTTATATTATTAAAAAATAAAATTTTAATAACTTAATATTTACGCACCCAAAAATATCTGATAAAAGGAATATGACAATTATTGTTTATAACACGGTCGGTGACTCGTGGGACGCAAGTACAATATAAAACTGATAGGGCTTTCGAATCTCAATTATGGGTTGGGCCCACTTATAGTAACGAAACTTATTAATTTGGAAAGTGAATTACTTTTTATTATCAATTATTGTAAATAAATTAAATTAAAATTTATCTTCATAATTTTTTTAAATTAAAATAAAAATTTTATTTCAATGTCTTTTCATTTGATTGGGCTTCTCTCAAATCTGTCAAATCACTTTTGAATGTCTACGCCTGCTAGGTTTTGGTGCTTTGGTCTTACTGGGCACATTTGAGTTGGCCCCTTTTTTTGACTTTTTATTCTTTGATTTTTTGTTTTTTTTTTTTTGAGAAGGGGTTCTTCAATCATTCAAAGGGTGACTAATTTAGCCAACGGCTGCCGACCGAAGACCACAATCAGTTATAAATTTAGATATTTTAAATTTTAATTTTAATAAATTATTCTAAGACTCGGCGAAATTGAGTGATGATAAAAATAAAATATAAATTTAAATATTTTGAATTTAAAACTTGAAAAAAAATTATTCCTCATGAATTCTGTATATTTGGAGTAACTTTGACCGAATCAATGAAAAAATTAATTGAAATGAACATAAATTAATTCAAAAATCTAGAGNTAATTTTAATAAATTATTCTAAGACTCGGCGAAATTGAGTGATGATAAAAATAAAATATAAATTTAAATATTTTGAATTTAAAACTTGAAAAAAATTTATTCCTCATGAATTCTGTATATTTGGAGTAACTTTAACGGGATCAATGAAAAAATTAATTGAAATGAACATAAATTAATTCAAAAATCTAGGGAATAATAACAAAAAAATAAAAAATAAAAAACAAAAGGTGGGTAATTTGTGGGACAGAGGTACAACTTGACAACCAGCAAATAAAAAAAGAAAAAGAAACAGAAAGAGGTACAAATACATGATTAGCTGTTGATAAATCATTAATTTTGCCTTTCAATGTTCGAAAGGGCTTTCCTAACGCCAAACGCCAAACGCCAAACGAACAATATGTATTCAATTTGCCTTTTTTTTTTTTGTTTATAATTGAGATTCGTTTAGATTGTAGAATTAAGTTAATCTGATTAATGTTCTATTCTTTGTTTTATAATTTGAGCATAATTTAAGCAATATATGGTTCAACTCGTGTGACTCGACTATTATAAATTTTGTTTGTGTATAAATATGACCAAATAACCCATATCAAAAGACAAACAACCTCAATTTATCCCTAAATAATTTTAGATTATAATGGGGTTGAATGTTTGTAAATTTTTGTGGAGTCGAGTTTGAGTAAGAATCTAAGTTCGATGATTATAAAATATAAGGGTTTAATTTTCAAAGAATTATGTTAAGATTGAACTTAATTTTTGGTCATATTTCAATTCGAACGATTACAAATTTATGTCGAACTAAGACTCAACAAAAAATTAAGCTAANATGATTATAAAATATAAGGGTTTAATTTTCAAAGAATTATGTTAAGATTGAACTTAGTTTTTGGTCATATTTCAATTCGAACGATTGCAAATTTATGTCGAATTGAGACTCAACAAAAAATTAAGCTAAGATCTCAAACTAATCTAGACAATTTAGTTGGAATGCTTGCAAATTTATGTGGAGCTGAGTTTGAACAAAAATTTAAGTTTGAAACTCGACCTAATCTCGACAAACTCCTCTCGTTAAATAAGATGGTAGAAAAGCGAGAACAACCATTAATTGATTGACTAATATATTCATGACAAGTTGAAAACTAACTAATAAAGGTTTCGTAAAATCTTCTAAGATAACAATGGTGAACAGATTGAGATTGGTCAAATGTATTTTCCGAAATAACATAATTTTTTTATTAAAAGCTACCTAAAAATACGCCGTTGACTTGAGTTCAACCAAAGGTGTAAGCAAAACTCCCTAATACAAGTTAATTGAACAAACATTCAATGAATGAAATCAAATTCCCAACCAATGAAATATATGTGATAGGACAGAGAAAAAGGGCAGAGAAGGCTAAAGGTTAGAACAAAGTAGTACCCCCTCCCACNATATGTGATAGGACAGAGAAAAAGGGCAGAGAAGGCTAAAGGTTAGAACAAAGTAGTCCCCCCTCCCTCTCTCTCCCACCCTTTTGTTCTATTCTTTGCTGCAAAAATTTGTGGACTAGGGAGAGAGAAAAGCTCCAAGGGTCCTAGATTCTAGTTGTTGGAGAGTCAAAAAGGATGAAAACATTTGGCATCCAATCATAAGAAGTAGTTCTTTTTCGACGCGACTTGAAGAATCAGATGCCTTGCAGATTTTTGTTTTCCTAAAAGAATATTTTTTTTTTCCAAAAAAACAAACACTCACTGTTCTAATTTTTATTTACATGGGACATAATCGTTAATAAGTCTGTGTTGATTCTTGGGCCGAGTTTTTTGTTCTTTGATCAATTGAGCCGAACCATATCACCCTGTTAAAAAAAATGCAATTTATGATTAATAAATAAATAAGATACGAATGAAACTAATTAATAGATAACATGACACGACTCGTTTATATATATTGATTATACATGATTCGTTTAATTTAGATTAAATCTACCTTCATGGGCTAAATAGGAAATCAACAAGAGAATGAAATGTTTTTTGACCTAAGCTTTTTACAATTCAACACCAACTGTCTCAAGCGACACGATTGAGAAATGGGCTGGACTGGGTTTAGACGTGTAAAGATAATCAAAAGATGGGCTTAATAAAAAGGGCTGAGTTTTCTGATTAAAAGGCCCTTAAAAACAAAGATGGGCTTTTTTTTCCCTCGTAACTAAGTCCCTACCCGTGTTCTCATAGCTGCAACAACTGTCCTTTTCCTTTACATTCTCGGATATAGAAACTCCCTCTCCTACTATATTTTGTGTGCATGAGAGACCTTTTCCTTTACGTTCTCGGATATAGAAACCCTCTCTCCTACTATATATTGTGTGCATGAGAGAGAGAGAGAGCATATTGACAACTTCAAACAAACAGAATGGTGAGTACTCTGAATTGTGACTTTAACAATTTATTTGGCTGAAGAGATTTTCCACCAGAGTGTGTGTATGAGAGAGAGAGAGAGAGTACATGAGTTATACACTTTTACGTTTAATTTTTTTTTTTTTTTAATCTTTTCTGCTTTGTCTCGACGGTAGTGATGCCAAAAAAATACAGACAGCCACGAGACAAGGTTGGAATTTTAATTAGAGACTAATTTTGATGTTAAGTTACTTGTAATTTTTTTATTTTGTGTGTGTGTGTGTGTGTGAGAGAGAGAGAGAGAGAGTAGACTAGTTTTGCAATGATTATATATTAGTTAAAAGATTGTATCATGTTTATTGCAGGCCCTTCTTGCTGATACTTTCTTCTCAGATTTCGATGAGTTATTAGACAATGAAGCCGATATTTTTGTGAGCATATTGTTTTTTTTTGTCTTTGTTGTATTAATTTTATGTATTAGTTTTTCCCTTTTGAAAATATGATTGTTGTATAATTAGTTTTTTTTTTCATTGCTAGTTTCTGTTTCCTTTCAGGATGAACATAACTTTGATGTAGACAACATGGAAGAAGATGATGAAGAGATGATGGGGATGGTATTTGAGTTTATGGGGATCGAAATCGAAGATCATCATATACATTTAAATAGATGTTATAGATTTATTATGGGAGTTTTTAGGAGATTATTTAGTATTTATTTTTCTGATTATTTTTTTTAATTTTTAAGAATTTATTTGTTATTTTGATTATATATTTGATTTAGGGTTTTGTAGAGATAAGGTGTTTGTTTGAGATAGAGCTTGAAATCGCGTTGGAATTAAATAGATATTATAAATTTATTATAAGAGTTTATCGTGCAAATTCCAGTTGGTCTTCAAACAAGACATGATCTTTATTTTGTTTATTTTTTTTAATTAAAGCAATGAAAATTAATTTTTAGATTATTGACAAATTCCTTTTTTTTCTTTAAAAGTTAGGATAAAGAAGAATGTCCAAAGACCATTTTGGATAAATTTTCATTATGAAATCATGAAGTCCTTATGCAAACTTAATTAAATTAGTATATTAAAAGTTCAGTCATTACTGTACTGAATCCAGTCGGTGGTATTATTGACAAATCCCTATCAACTAGGCTCGCCTATTCAACTGGTCACCTGTGACCTTAAATGGGCCAACATGACGAGCCAAGATGGGTTAAAGTTGGCCCACAGAACTACTTAACAGAAGGTCATCCCACGTGTTCTGACTGGCCCATGAGGCAATGGGTGCACGGGCTTTAATGCAACAGCAAATGGACCTCCGGGATTTTAGGCCATAACCAATGGGCTTTCAGGCTTTAAGGCCTACGACAAAAGTAAATATTCAATGTAATGATTAATCATATAGGACTAATAAACCCCACTAATCTCACATAATATTTTGAAAAATTTGGAGGTCAATCTCTCTATATAGACTTAAGTCCGTCAAGGAAATTTATTTGTTATGAAGTCTGTTTTTGGTCAATTTTACCATACTATCCATTCCCTTTAGAAATGAAATAAAACTAAAAATTAAAAACTCCTAAATCTTAGGAATTTGACTAACATTAAATTTTTTATTCTCTTGTATCTATCTATATCCATTTATAGACTAAGAGTTTGACTAACATTAATTTTTTTTCTCTCTCATACCTATCTATATCCATATATAAGATAGGTATACATTTATATATAGTAACATTAAAAATAAAAAATAGTAACATTCAAATACAAACATTTAAACAAAAAAAAATTGAAACATTCAATATTAATATTTTTCAAAAATAACAATAGCAGTATGTTTAACAAAAATAGTAACATGCTTAACAAAAACTGTAACATACTTAACAATAATTATTTATCTTAAATTTAAACGCAAAAAATAGTACCATTCAAACACAAAAAATAGTAATATTCAAAAATAAAAAAAATAGTAACATTGAATATTAATATTTAGGAAATAGTAGTAACATGTTCAACAAAAAACAGTAAGCCCTCTTGATTGAATAGAGGCATTTCTATTCCCATCAGTGTGATCCCTCCCTCCATTATGACATGGAGCTTATAATTCAAGACTTCTTTGCTGGGGACCTTTCCCTTTTTGTCGAGTATTCACCCTAGTCACTGTTCTTTATAGAGAAGAAACTAGAAAAACTAGTCGATTCCCACAGACGGTGCCAGATTGTGCGTGCAGAATCTTGCACAATATAAACACGAGAACAGATCTCTCCCGTGGTGAACTCGAGTCAGTTAATCAAATGGTCAACCTTGCTATTTGGAACAGGCTGAGATTCGTTGGTGGCCTGGAAAGGTAATTAGTGACTTTCGTGGATCAAGGGAGCAATCCAGTAAGGTTGAGGGAGGTTCCTAGAACAGAGAAAGACAAGTTATAAGAGCGCCGGAGTGTTTTTTGGCGTATCCCCTCCGACGATCAAGTCAGTTTTTGAGAGAGGGGAAGAAGAAAATACTGAGTATAGGTTTGAGAAAAGGTTTTTTGTTGCATACCGTCTTGCCTTTTGTGAGGAGTATTTATACCTCAAAAACTCATGATTACTGCCAGTGTGGTTAGTAGGTGATCATTAGATACGGGCAACGTGCGCACTGATTCCTATGAGGAATGTCTTTTCTTTTAACTGTTCGGGATTCCGAGCAACCAAGGCTGCGTCATCGGCCTGCCGACTGTTTAATGAGCTCCTCTCGGCAAGGATGTAATAAATGCCCAGTCTTAGGGACATTTATTACCTTTCACTTCCGAGTCTTACCGCATTAAATGCTGTCTCATCAAGGGAATAGTGTAATTAAATGCTTATTTTTCCAAGTCGTGTGTTAGCAAGGGAATTCGGTCTTTTTGTCTCTGATGTGACACAATATGCCACGCGCCCATTCCCTATTGGCTGTGTCTTCTGCCTTCTCGTGTCTTCTGACACCAATTGTGTAAGACGAGGTCATGATGGCTAACCTAGCCTAGCCTAGGCTAGTGACCTGTACATCAATAGCCTCTGCAGGAGTAGAGAACGCCATCCTAGATGGGGTACATCTCGATACCGAGGGGAGTGGTACATGTAGGGACCGATGTACCCATATCCGACCGAGGGATACATGTCGGTACGTAACGTACTGGGTGTTATTGATCCCTATAAACAGTACCTCGGGGGAACAGGGACTTGTGATCCGACGGATACGTGTCGTGATTATAGTAACAAGAATTTACTGATGCTGAGGACACATGTCTTTATCTTGGAGTATTTGGAAAATGTCCCATCATTATGCTTTGTGTCTTGACCAATTTAACGTGCTCTGATTGTGAAAAAATAAATTTGTTACGTAAAGCATGATCATTGATCACTCATCCATGGCTTTTTTCTTGTTGTAGAATTCAGATTTGATTTTAGGCTTCTGTAGTTGCTGTTATGTTTCTCAACATGACTAATTCTGTGTACCGGGCTTTCAAATTAAAGGAAGAGAATGAAGCCGATATTCTTGTGAGCATATTTTTTTTTTTTTTTGTCTTTGTTGTATCACTTTTATGTATTAGTTTTTACCTTTTGAAAATATGATTGTTGTATCATTTGGTTTTTTTTTTTCATTGCTACTTTTGTTTCCTTTCAGGATGAAGATAACTTGGATGTGGAGATCATGGAAGAAGATGCTGATGGGGACCTAGCAGATATAGAAGCACTTAACTATGATGATCTTCATAGCGTTTCCAACCTGCAAAAAACACTGCACTATGTTGATATCATGCAGGTTGGTTCATGTCATTCACGTTCCATAGTTTTTTTTTTTTTAAAGATCTTGATAGCTCCGACACCTGGGGAGCAATTTGGCTTGCCTACCCGATTGGTTTAGCTTCATCATTGCTAAGACCCGTACGCATCCACGGGGTCTCACTCATTGTGGAAGTTTGTTCCTACCTTTTATTCGGAGACAGGAGTCCTTGAACACTGTCTCTAGGGCCTTACCCTTCTAGGAGGCTTGTTCCTGTTTTTTCTTCAGGGGTAGGAGTCCTTGAACTCTGTCCCCAGGGCCTTACCCTTCCAAGAGGTTTGCTCTTGTTTTTTCTTCGGGGGCAGGAGTCCTTCAACTCTATCCCTAGGGCCTTACCCTTCCAGGAGGCTTGCTCCTGTTTTTTCTTCAGGGGCAGGAGTCCTTGAACTCTGTCCCTAGGGCCTTACCCTTGTAACTTAATCATTGGCGAGCACTGAAGGAAATAATACTTCAAAAATAGTATTTCTTTAGATTCATCACATTCTAAGGTCGCATTACAAGTTTTCCTTTCATATCTTCTAATCTATATGACCCGGAGCCTCCGATAGATATCACTTTGTAGGGCCCTTCCCAGTTAGGTCCCATTTTTCCTTCTGTTGGGTCACGAGTATTGGCCGTTATCCTTCTGAGGATCAGATCGCCAATTTTAAACTCTCGCGCCTTGACCTTTTTGTTGTGAAGTTGGAAAATCTTTTCCTGATACTTGGTTACTCTCAAGGCGGCTATTTCCCTTATTTTTTCCGCTAGATCCAAATTCAGTCAAAGTTGATGGTCATTTCCCCCTACATCGAAAGATTGCGTCCTTATGGTCGGGAGTCCTACTTCTAGAGGTATGATTACTTCCATTCCGTAAGCCAGGGAGTAAGGGGTTTCTCCTGTCGAGGACCGAGGGGTGGTCTTGTACGCCCATAAAATGTTCAATAACTCATTCGCCCATTTTCCCTTGGCTTTCTCCAATCTCTTCTTGATCCCATTGATAATTGTTTTGTTGGAGGCTTCTGCCTGCCCATTGGCTTGGGGGTAGGCAGGGGTGGAATAGAAATTACGGATTTCGAGTTGCTCGCAAAAAGACTTGAAAAGCCCGCCAGTGAATTGGGTCCCGTTATCTGATACAAATGTTCGGGAAATCCCAAATCTGATGATTATGTTTCTCCAGACGAACTTTTTAGCATCTATGTCGCAGATGTGAGTCAATGGCTGCGCCTTAACCCACTTGGTGAAATAATCTGTGGCCACAATGAGGAACTTTCTATTTCCAGGAGCCTTAGGCAGGGGTCCAACTAAGTCAAGTCCCCACTGGGCGAATGGCCAAGGGCTGGTCAGGGGGTGCAAGTCCCTCGCGGGTTGCCTGATTGCAGGGGAGAACTTCTGACATTGGTTGTATTTTTGGACATATGCATATGCGTCCCTTTGCATCCGNAAGTCAAGTCCCCACTGGGCGAATGGCCAAGGGCTGGTCAGGGGGTGCAAGTCCCTCGCGGGTTGCCTGATTGCAGGGGAGAACTTCTGACATTGGTTGTATTTTTGGACATATGCATATGCGTCCCTTTGCATCCGCGACCACCAATATCCTTGAGACATGATGCGGTGTGCCATGGATCGCCCCCTAGAGTGCCCCTCGCATATTCATTTGTGTACCTCATAGAGGAGGTCTTCCACCTGATCCTCTTGGACGCATAGTAGGTAAGGTCCTAAGAAAGACCTTCGATATAGCTTTTGATCCGGAGAGACCCAAAACCTCGGGGCTTTAAGTTTTATCTTCCTGACTTCCTTTGAACACTCCGGGAGGTCTTATGTCATTAGGAACCTGAGATAGGGATCAATCCAGCTGGGCGGTTTGTGTGTGTCCTGGACGGCCATTGCCTTAGGGGCTTGGTCTATATANACACTCCGGGAGGTCTTATGTCATTAGGAACCTGAGATAGGGATCAATCCAGCTGGGCGGTTTGTGTGTGTCCTGGACGGCCATTGCCTTAGGGGCTTGGTCTATATAGGAGGTGGGAATGTATTCTATGGTGATTCTGCGCAATTGACAGGATTTTAGTGACGAGGCTAGGCAAGTTAGGGCGTCGGCATGCGCGTTCTTGTCTTGGGACACTTGTTTGATCTCGATCTTTCCAAATTTATGGATTACAGTCGTCGCCTTGTGATGGTAAGCCTTTATCCTAGGGTCCCTTGTCTCAAATTCTCCATTCACTTGGTTGCCTACCAGCATGAAATCGCAATGTATGATCAAGTTCGTAACTCCAGTTACCTCAGCTAACCGAAATCCTGAGATGAGATCCTCATACTCAGCTTCATTATTGGACGCTTTGAATCTCAGTCGAACGGCCTGCTTCGCGACCATCCCATCTGGAGAGACTAGCAAGATACCGATCCCGGACCCCTTACTGTTCGACGAACCGTCCACACATAAAAGTCATGGTGATCCCTCACAATTCGTTGGGGACGCTATGCCGGGAGGAGGCGGTCGCTCTGGAACGGGATGTTCCCCTGAAAACTCTGCTATGAAGTCTGCCAACACTTGACCCTTTATAGCGGTTTGAGGTTTGAAATGAATGTTGTGTTCCCCCAACTCCACTGCCCACTTGGAAATCCTTCCAGAGAGGTCTGCCTTCCTCAAAATGGCCTTTAAGGGCTGATCGGTAAGAACGGTAATTGGGTATGCTTAGAAATAATGCCTTAGTTTTCTTGCAGTTGTGACTAGGGATAGAGCCAATTTTTCTAGGGGCAGGTATCTTGTCTCCACATCCAGGAGCGCCTTGCTTATGTAATAAATCGGCTTCTGACGGTGCTCATGCTCACGAATAAGTACCCCGCTAACGGCAAATTCTGATACAGATAAGTACAAGAAGAGCATTTTCCCCTGGATAGGGACGGATAGGGTCGGGAGAGTCCTAAGGTATTCCTTGATTCCAGCCAGGGCGTCTTCGCACCCCTGGCTCCACATATCCTTCCTAGCCCTCTTGATGGCTCCAAAAAAGGGTTTACATTTGTCTGAGGAGCGTGAGATGAAACGGTTAAGTGCTGTCAGCATCCCTATGAGCTTTTGGACTTCTCGGACAGTTCGGGGGCTCTGGATGTCTAAGATCGCTTGAATCTGATCCGGGTTAGCTTCGATTCCTCGCTGACTCACCAGATATCCGAAAAATTTACCCGACTCTACTCCGAAAACGCACTTTGCAGCGTTCAGCTTCAGCCCGTATTCCCTGATGGTGGAGAAGGTATCTGCTAAATCTACCAGGTGGTCACAGCTTCGTTTGCTCGTCACCAACATATCGTCAATGTAGACCTACATAGTGTTGCCGATCTGCTTTTTGAACATCCGATTCATCAGTCTTTGGTATGTTGTCCCGGCATTCTTTAGCCCAAACGACATCACTTTGTAACAGTAAACTCCCTTTGAAGTGATAAACGCCGTCTTTTCCTAATCCGGGGGATGGAGAGGGATCTGGTGATATCCTGCTCAGGCATCCAAGAAGTCCATGTGTTCATATCCGGCAGTGGCATCCACTAGCTGGTCCACCTTTGGTAGGGGGTAGTCGTCCTTGGGACATGCCTTGTTTAGATCAGTGAAGTCTACGCAAACACACCATTTTTCCCTCTTCTTCTTCGCGCAGACCGTGTTAGACAGCCATTCTGAGAACTGTACTTCCCGAATGGCGTTGGCCTCCAGGAGTTTATCGATCTCTTTGTTGACCGCGCGGGCGTGGTGCGGGGCCATGCGTCGTGACTTCTGTTTTATTGACTTATGCGTCGGGTCAACATGCAGCTTGTGTGTGATTATTTCGGTGTCCACTCCTGTCATTTTCATTGCGTTCCAAGCGAATACGTCTGTATTTCCTCTCAGGAACTCAATCATCTCCTCCTGTTCGGCTGTGGGTATCGCGGTTCCAACTAAGAAGTATCTTTCCTCCTCATCCTCCACCAAGGGCACCTTTCGGAGGTCTTCCACCGACTGTTTTGTCGGGTCAATTCGGGGGTCATCCATTCTTGGACGCCCAGACTGTGATTGTTATTTTTCCAGGATCTCNGAGGTCCTCCATCGACCGTTCTGTCGGGTCAATCCGGGGGTCATCCATTCCTGGATGTCCGAACTGTAATTATTATTTTTTCAGGATCTCTTCCGGAGCGCGCCCCTTTTCTTGGGTGAAAGCCCTTGCTCTAACAGCTGAATAAAAATAATTTTTTGCGGACGCTTGGTCCTCTTGGATCTCCATGATCCCCTCTGGCGTGACGAATTTCAGTTTCTAGTGATAAGTGGAGTGCACTGCTCCCAACGCATGCAACCATACTCTTCCCATGATCACATTGTAGGGAGAGTCCGTATCAATTACGACAAACTCGGTGTTGATGGTGAAGGGACCTGTGACAACTGACAATGTGATTTTTGCCTATGGGCAGGGCGAACGAGCCGTTGAATCCGATAAGGGGTGTCCTGACCTTGGTGAGGTCCTTGTGGCCAAGACCCATCCCTTTTAAAGTGTTAGAGTACATCACTTTCGAGGAACTTCCGGAGTCTATCAACAACCTCTTGACGTCGAACTTGCTTATCTTCAGGGTTATGACAAGAGTGTCGTTATGAGGAGTGATCACGCCCGTCAAGTCTGCGTCGGAGAACGTGATGCTCGACTCACCAATCCTGACCCTTTTACTGGGCGGCCCCCCATTATTCTTAGCTATCTTTCTTGTAAAAATTACCCTCTTGAGATCGGACTCTAGTTCCTTGGACGTGGGGCGCGGACATACATGGATCATATCTATGACATTTTTCGGCTCCTCGGTTGGGACAGGAGTGCGCCTCTCTTCGGGCTTGGACTCTATGTAATTTTTTAAGTATTCGTCTCGGACCAATCTTTCCAAGAAAGATTTGTATACCCTGCAGCTTTCGGTGCGATGGCCGAAATCCCGATGATAGGAACACCTGACCCTTTGATCACGGGTGGAGGGATCGCTCTGCATCCTGGGTGGCCACTTGAAGAATGACTCATGCTTGATCTTATGGAGCAACTTGTAGATGGGTTCCTTGAACATAGTGTGAACTCCTTTGAATGACTCCCCCGGAGGGGGTAGTAGTCCCT